ATATAGATATATATATATATATATATATATATATATATATATATATATATATATATATATATATATAGAGAGATATAGATATAGAGATATAGATAGATAGATAGATAGAGATATAGATAGATAGATATATATAGATATAGATAGATATATATAGATATATATAGATATATATCTATATATATATATATATATATATATATACATCTAGATATATATACATATAGATATATATATATATATACATATAGATACATATATATATATATATATATATACATATATATATATATATATATATATATATATATATATATATATATATATATATATATATATATATATATATAGTCTTTTCAAAAAAGGTTGTGATCTGGAAAGATATATATATTAAAGATTGAGCGCGCGAAGAACTTTGGGAATGTTCGTTGAATTAATTATGCCGTCCCAAATATGCATATGTTAGGATTACAACAACGCGTGATAGACATAACTTCGGAGAGTTTGCCGGGAAATATTGCACACCTATCATTAGCCAGCCACAATTCTATCACAACTATTCACTCTCATTCTTGCGTAGAGCTAAACAGTTAGAATAGCAATAATGTGTCCTTGCATCGGTTTCATTTGCATTTTAACAGTATGTAAGATATATTGTATGTTCTGTCCAGCTCTCGTATTCTGACTGGTCGTTAATTCTCATGAAAATGTAGAAAGTAATTAAGTGACATTGTAAACAGGACGAAAACAACCTCGACAGTTCTCTTGAGACTATACTGTATTCATTAAACATATATAATTATCGGTTTTGTTGGTTTGAAATGCCCCGTCTGAAGATCCTAATATTTCCTTTGAGATCGGAAAACAATACGACAACGAAAATGCGACGAAAATGACTGGCACTCAACGTTTATTATACGCAATTAAGATCTGCATATTATGGGCAAAATCTTTCACATGCATGCACAGTCGCACAAAAATGGCAGACGAAAATACAATTAATGTCGTACTGAAAGTTGTACGTAAGGCAAATCGAACAAAATATGATACATACAGTCAACAAAATGTAGAAATGTTTGACAATGTCGATGAATTGAAAGAGTTTTTGTTGCGCAATTTTTCTGTGGAACTATCACCTGCTACGACGACAAGCTCATTCAATCTTGGGTATATTGCTGGAACAAATAGGCAGGTGGTGATAGCAAACGACATCAACCTGGCCGAAGCATATTCTGTTGCTAAAGCAGGTTGGATAACACTGTGGGCAGAGGCAATTGTACCCCCTGCAGTGGCAGCATCAAGAGGAACCAAACGAAGCCTCTCCCATGCAACTGATGACCTGGCAACAAACCCCAGTGGTAATGGTATTTACTTAACTTGTACATCATTTGAAAAATGTTGTCTGTCTTACAATTTCCAGCTAGGTAAAGTTATACTCAAATATATATTAGGCTACAGCCTACAGTAGTAATAAAATACAATTCATATCCATAGGATTAAATTCTTCTGAAGCGGCAGGTTATGAAAGTACATTACAGCGACTCAAAACGAAGCATAGTTCCAATTACCCTAAATTTAAACTTAAGGTTTGGGCTAAAATGTTGGTAAGTTCTAATGTATTACTTGTATGTCTCTAAGTTACTGCATGCGGCATGCTATATTCTAAACTTTATGCTGTTTAACCAGTTGTTTTGTCAGTAATTTACTCGCCTCGAAATTGTTTAATTATAGACCAACAGCACTCACGACAGCCATGATATGCCGCCAAAAATACCTTTCTTTACCAGCCTTAAAGTGGGAAAGGTTAGAGGTGATTCCCCTTCGTCGACTACCCCTGCAACAGTAACGACAGGAGCAATACTTCCTGGTTCTGAAACATCGGAAACAGACATGACAGAGCAAAAGGGTATATCAACATACCATTTTTGTTGAGAAATATTTTTATAAATTGTAAGCAAATTAATATAGGGTATATTAATTAACTTCTCGAAAGCCAAAACAAAATCTTACTGCAAGTGATTGCATTTCGTTTAAAAAGTAATTGGGTCCAGCATCTCTACTAACGAGCTTGCGGTCCTGTTAGCACAGTGTTCAAGATGAAAACAGCTTTTGAACAGCGATTTACTACACAAAACAATTTTCATTGCATTATAATTATGTAGGTTCGTCTCCGTTCAATGATTTTGCAACAGCTGAAGGATTTAAAAAGCCTCGAAGAAACAGGAGTTCTGGACGAAGAGGAATTTAAAAATCAAAAATATAAGCTACTCAAATAATTGTCAAGCTTGTGATATGGCAGTGATACATAAACAAACCTGTTAAAGTTGTCTTATAATTAAAGTTATCTACATATATTGTTTACATGTAGCCAGCGTGATATATATATAGTTTTTAATTTGCTCATCTGTGCTCTGCAGAAATGATTCCCACAACATTAAAGCACTAGCACTTTACCAAGTATGACAATCGAACGTGGATTAAAACCATTAAATGGCAGTAAGCATGGAACAAGTACATTCTTAACAAAGGTAAGAAATGTTTCTCCATTAACGTGTCCACGGTAGAAGCCAACATCAAGAATGCCTTCCATAGAGATAATGGGAATTACGGTAATGCGCGGGCCCCAGTTTGAATATCGCCGATATATTTTAGCTGGCCGCCCTTTTAGATTGTACGCATATGTTCTCGTGATTCTTTTATCCTGTAATTAAAGGAGAATTATACATTCAAAAAATTAATGGTAAAAGTAGGTGAGTATTGGTGAGATGAAATAAGTTTCATACCCAACACGAACATAAGCGTAACTCGTTTTGGATATGATATAATTATTAACTGCATGCTAAATACTGAGCACAATTAGTGAACATGTGCTGCACAATTACGTGAACAATTAAGCTTGTATTTGTTAATCCTCACTATTGTTTAGATTCCGTGCATGCACGGCACAACATACATATAGCTATAATATAGTGGGCAATTAACATACAAAGCCACTTTCATCCAGGAAAACAAACATATCTGGCGATATCAAACATGTTGAAGCCCGAAACTCTGCCCTTGCATCTTCAGAGCTCTGTTGTGCAATTTTGACGAGCTATATTTAAGACGGAGATTGTAGTACAATGCAATTAGTATTTCAAGTTTAAGACTAATTTATCATTTATGCATTGTTTGCTGTATTAAATTTACTAACCTTCTTATGAGTTATGTTGTTTCTTTTCAAATAGTAATACAGGGTCGAGCATAGCCTGCGTGGCAGGCCCTCAGTTTTATGGGGGGGGGGGCCTAATTTGCAACAGGCAGGATTTTGGAGGGCTCCGGGGGAGGATTAAGGGCCTGCAGGAACGACCACCTTTCATGACTACATGCCCCAGTCATAACATAATTAATGGCTTTCTAAAATCGACCAATAAAAATTCAGCTGCATTTGGGGAAAACCCTGTGCGAAAGAAATATATTCGCTCGCATCAAAACATGTCAATTAACCAATGTCGCGAACTGCTCCGGACGATTATTGTAGAGTTTGTAAATGTTGTTTTAAACATCAGTTCGGCAATTTTAGTAAAATTGTGCATGTTTCATCGCAAAACCTGTTCAAACCGTCACAAAGAAAAGAGTCTTTTGGAATTGTGCTTTCAGATTTATGTGATAAAGTTGGCTTACTGTTGAAAAACTCTGAATATCATTCAACCAAAATTTGCAACACATGCTCAAGAAAAATTTGAAAAGTACACGAGCTACAAACAGAATTAAAATCTTCAGTTAACACATTGCACGAGAAATTTCAACACCATTACGAGCCCAAACATGTAGATGCACCAGGAAAACGTAAACTGTTAACTCCCGACCGTGGAGCTAGTCCATTCAACCGAAAATCAAATCGTGTTTGTTCTCCACGAGGTTCTCCGGATGGTATTTCTAGAAGTAGAACTGGATCGAAATCTGCGCGTAAAAAATGCTTGTTTGGCAGCGATACAAGAGACTATCTCACTGGTCAGTCATCAGAAAAAAGCACAGGTACTGCAAACAATGTGGATGTAAATACTGATTCTGATGATGTACTAAGTAAGCTCAACATCGACGGTTTGAAAAAGTGCGAAGGGCGTTTGTGACTTAAATTAAAAGTGGTTTTAGTTCATCCGAATGGGAATGTTGTGACCCGAAACCCTACAAACGAAAAGACAGTGCAAATTATTAGAAATCTTCTTGTTGGCGGCTGGACTGCTGTTGCAAATGCAGTATTTGACCACCCAAATGAGGAGTTACGACTTGCCGTTAAGAGGACAGTCAACAAAGAATTCCGAGTATACAGTAAAACTGACTCGGTTCTGAAGGCAACGTGTGTGCAGATGATCTAACTGCATTTTCAAACAAACTTGTTCATGAAGCGAAAGTTTACTGTCCGCTTTGGCATGCAACTTTAATGGGGGCTGCTGGAGTGAAAGACAACGGCAACGTAACGTGTATCAATCAGCTTGCTTTGGCCACTGCAATTCTTGGTCGGACACGGAACTCATCAATGTCTGTGGTTGCTTATAGAATATCCAGCTTGTTGGTTCATAGTGGAGCCACTCACCAGAACATAATCCGACTTAACAAGTTGGGTGTATGTATGTATGTGCCCCAAATCTACAGTTGAAATGCAACGTAAGATGGGTAGGCACTTTGATGCAAAGGTTTTACAATGGAAGTCATCTATAGAAGACACTACTAAAAATAGCCTACAATTTTTGAATGAAGTCATTGAAAAACAGAAACCTGTTCTTGAAGACGACTCCATGGATTTGGAATCAGAGTTCGACATGCGAGAAGAAATTGTGAAAAAATACCAATCTTACCATCCAAATGTCTACAATAAAGTGGTGGATTCTTTAACGGTGAATGAAGAGAACGAACATAATATAGCATTATGCAGTACTCAACAAAAGTTCACTGAAGAAGCATTATGATATCAGATTTCTGTCCTTGAGAATGAAAACGTACCACTTTACAAGTAAGAATTATTGAACATTTTTCACTCGACCTCGACCTTGGGACAGCAATTGTTTTGTTAAAATGTTTGAACGTTTACACGAAAAGTTTTGTCGTAACTTAAAAAATGGCCTTGATAACAAAGTGCCACTGCATTGACAACATGCACCACGTAACAATAAAACTTTTCGTTCAAACATATCGGCAAAACAATTGGCGTTCCAAGGTTGAATGAAAATCGCAATATTGATTATTGTATTTACATTGAAAATTGTGGCAAATTTTACTATACGTACATAGTGTTTTGGATGTGATGTTCTATAAAAAAGAATTATGATTTATGACAGCCTGGCAAAATCAAGTGTCCTATTTTTTGCAATTCTTTGTATAATAATGTTAAACAATATAGACAAACCAAAATACGTTCATGTTTTATCAAACTTAAAAGGTTTTACATTTTATTCCATAGAATTGTTGGTGATAATGTTGATATGGAAATTGCTGCTAGAATTGAGAGAAAAGAAAGGGGTAATAAATCTTTGCACTGGACTCATCAATTCGCTGTATTGGACAGGGCGTCTCCTGTTGGCGACAACAGGAAACAACCCCGAAGTGATATGACACAGCTTAGAGTTATTACCACATAGTCAAGTGCAAGAAAACCTGATAAGTAGAATGGCAGTTCTTGTCAGCAGAGTGGTAACAAAATACCTCGAATGTTTCCATCCATTTCAAGACGTGGTTGTGTGGAACATTCCGCACAAATACTCAAAGGAGATGTCAGAAAAATAAGAGTCCGTAAGTTAAAAAACACATGTCTTATGACAAACCATACTCAGATAAAAAATGAAGAAAAACTATACAACATTATTTTTATACACTGCCAAACGTCAACTTCATTAATAATTTCGGCGGTGTAAAAATGTTAATGCATGTCAAAAAATCATAACGACATAAGGCATGCAATTCACAAATTTTTGGCTTAAACCATTTTTTTGAATGACTGTGCAATGTTTTGTTAATTGTTATTTTTTATATGCATAAACTGAAGTATAGCGAAATTTTAATGGTAGGTATTAAAAGCCTTGTCCCAAGCTACAGTAGTGACTACAAGTATGGGGGCCATTTGACTTTAGGAAGGTCATAGCTCACAAACACTATGAAGCATACTCACTGCTTATTAAATAGAGGGCATGCATGCGAGTAGAGTGATTCACACTGTTGTTCAATTTTGGCGTGCTATTTAAATTGCAACATTAAGGTGACAGGGGAGACACCCTTAAGCAAATAATTTTTCCTTCTGTCAGCCCTAGACATCATAGACATGAAGGTGTTGAAAGGGCAAACGGTTAATAATATTTAACTTTCATTTTATAGTGTTGTCTTGGGGTAGAGTTCTTCAACCCTAATGTTGCAGGAGAAATGGCACAGCTGATGCAGGGTAACCAGTCAAAGTATGTCCCACTATCCCTGGATAAGACAAATATTCTTGCAAAGATCCCACTGCATGGAGATTAGCTTTTCGAGGAGAGGGCTAGAAACGTTAAATGGACATTCCAAGATGGAGAATGCAGTGTGGAGAGGCTAGATGGCCTTGAACCGGAGTTCGCAGATTGGCATGCCAAATTCACCTTGTACAAGGTACATTCCACTGTATTAAAGTACAACAAGAATGTGCAAACAGTCAAGCATGCAGAGCTGGCCCTGTTGTGGGGTCAAATGCCCCCATGTTACACAGCCTATGCAACTGTTAAAATTTAACTGATGTACAGTAAAATACCTTTACATAATTTACTACAGATGGAAAACAAGTTGTTTGTGAATCATGCATCTGCTGGAGAAATCGGCACATGTGGCAAGCATGTACAGAACTGGCAAGAAAAATGCTGTTAAGAATGTACACAATAACTACAATGAATATAGTGAGTTCCATGCCAGGGAGGTAGAGGCTCACATATGTGCAGCTTTCATGCAAAAGATGAGTATGCTGAAAATGAATGGTAAGTCATTATGGGAATATAGAGAATATTGCACAGCAACACACTTAATTTTCCATTTCCATGACAATCGATGCCCGGCAGATAGAGAATGTGTAAGCCACTGTACATGCTCATTAGGTGGGGGAGTTGGAAGTGCTGGTTGTGAAATATATTTTTACTTCAATTATATCATAGATAAACCCAATGTTGTACTACCAGATGATTCAGTTTCAAAGTCTATTAAAGGGAAGTGCAGTGATTTTGTAAGGGAATATTGTGTTTCAGTCAGAGAAAGTTATTGATATTGTAAACAAGACAGCTGAGCTGGATGAAAAGATGAAATCACCATTTGCATGTAGGGCAGATGGTTGCAACAAATCCTATCTGTCTCATTTTGCCAGAGTCAGGTGAGTCTATATTTCCATTATAATTCAAACTGTGTGTTGAAACTAACTACAGTACAAAGTTCACAATACAGTTACATCCAGGCAACTAGCTTGCTGCACACTAAAAACCTTTGATAACCCTTGGATTTTATCCTGTGAGGCAGAGGTTTATAATATGCTCCCAAAGGCTAATAGCCCTTATAATGTTCATAAACTATCAATGAGGAGACTGCATGTCAATTAGACGCTTAACAATTTTCTAATGTTTGAAATTTTCTTAGTATCCAGTTTGGGATAAAAGTCATTCACAGTTTGGTATTCAAAACCAAATTATAGTATCCTTTCAATTGGGGATAGTCTGTAAATTTCAGACCATGGTAAATAATTAGATCATTAAATACTACCAGGATCATTTACTGAATGAACATGCTTGTAAAAAGTTTCAATTTTTCTTATTTTATTAGACATGAAATTGGCAAGCACAAATTTGTCATTGCAAGATTTGAAGAAATAAATGATGAGCGAGATCCTATGGGATACTATTTCTGTCAATGTGGCTGTGCTTTTGTTTTTAGTACTAGAGCAACAAGGAATAGGTATGTAAAATACTATAATTTTAAAATACTATTTATTTTGGACACAAACATCCCATTGAGTGGCAACACACTCTCCTTGGTGTTCAATTAAACTGTCTGGTATCGTGTACTAGTTAGGGGATTGTAGATGTATATAAATAGCTAAATAACAACTGCAAGAAATGAGGTCCGATCTCTCATAAAAGTGTACTAAAAATATACTGTATATTGGACTATAAATTTCTCATTTTTCTTCAGGCATGAGAAAACAATCCACCACGCAACAGGGTGTGAATATCCTGAGATGACACCAAATGCCCAAACCACACACCCAGATTACATATTCAACTACCATCAAGCAAAATTGGCCTTTGGCTTATTCTTGTCAGAACTAGCCGATTGTATAAAAGGAGATGGTGAACGTCTCTATGAAATCTACAAACTGGCTCTTCTGCTATTTAAGAGCAGAGGCCACACCAAGTATGCTTATGAAGTTCTGCTGTATCTTGCTAAGATCAATTTTCTTCCGCATGAAGAAGCTTTCACTTTGAAATGGAACCGGTTTTACAACCACCATGGTGGGAAAGGAAAAAACATCCCTCTTGATCTTAGGAAAGAACAACAAAACTGCATCCTCAAGAAGATGTGGAAAGCATTGGGGGGCTAACCTTGATGAAAAAGGTGCAACTAGGACTTCAGAATCACTTGAATTGCATGAAATGATCATTTCATCCATTGACCAAGACTGTGAGCTTCTTGAAAGAAAAGGACGTCGATCTAATCCTAAAAAGAATGAAGCTGTGGTTCAAACTCTGTCTGATTTATTGGAGGTTGAAGCATTCAAATTCAAGAGTGGTAGAGAAGGATACCCCACATTCCCTAAATTTGAAGCTAACATTGTTAGTCTAGATTACCGAGACCTGCACAAGTGGATCAAAGACCATCTGAAACTTTGGCAATCAATTTATAAATCACACAATTAGACTAATAGCTAAACCAATTGACATTTAATTTTTAAGTTTAATAATTGGAACCATGTCCATAAACACTGTATATATAAACAATGTGGACTCTTTATATTGGGGGAAATTATTAAGATTATATTGTTGACCAGCTACTGGAAGAATTTAGAGGCCTTGCTGACCAATACGTCTTTGGGGGTGGGCAAGTGAAAACAAAACTTTGCCCCCCCCCCCCCCTATACGTTTTGGGCCCTTTAGATTTTTTTTATCCGAAGGTAATGTACAATGCAATGCTAATAGCTAGCAGATATGTTATGTGTGCACAGACATACTCTGTTAAGAACCTAAAAATAATTACTGCAGTTGGATATGAAACTTACCAGTTTGCAGATGCTGTCAAAATACTCATTAAGTGTTTGTTCAAAAGGGGTTATATCGTGATACAGTTCCATATCAGTCTGGTCAAAATGACTGTCAGGAATATCCATAAAGAGTTCTTGGATTACATCCAGAATTCTGTATGCATGAGTAATTGAGAATGCAGGAAACTGTGTTCGAATGTCGTTAACAGTGAATATTCTATAGCTGTTGTCAATTATATCAGAAATCAGTTGGTCAGAAAAACCATGGGTGGAAACCATGTCAAATACTGCAGCTCTACCAGTATTTATTTGAGATACAAGTTCTTGAAGGGCATCTCTAAGGTCATCCTTTTCCTGATCACTTACAGATCTGGTCAATCCAACTTGAGATGTTGCACATGAATGTTCTGTAAACATTTTGTCAAAAGGAAATGAAACAGGGCATCCTTCCTCAATACATTGACAGGACTGGTAACAATAATTGCAACAATCATGCTTGACAGCACCAGGCTGAATTGATGGATCAAATGGACTGTATGCAGCCAAACGATAACAACCTGTTGTATTGACAAACTCTTCAACATCTTCATCACAATGGGTTACTTGTTGACCATGATAAATAATAACTATATGAGCAGAACTGCCATTACGACCAGCTCTTCCTCCCTCTTGTAACTGATCCAAAAGATTTCTGGCAGGTCCCCAATTAATAACATATTTAATGTCGGGAAAATTAACTCCCATACCAAGGGCAGATGATGCCACAACAGAGTTCTTATTCCCTGTACCTTTAAGTTGACTAAATAGTCTTTCCTTTTGTTTTTTAAACGAGTTAGAATGATAGATCCCAATTATCCTACACTCGGGTTCTCTTGATTCAGGAGGATTGTATGCATTTGCTCCAAGTTGTAACATTAAATGGTTGAATACTGCAGCAATATCATTTAATGTGTTACAAAAAATAAGTGTCTTCGGACAACATGCACCAGTGTCCTTTATCAGTTTTATCAGCCACGATAACTGATAGAACATTTCACCTTTAGCCACTTTTCTATGGAATGCCGATTGTTTCAATAATACTTCTGTCGCAAATATAATACTTCTTTGCAATTATAATACTTCGTGTCACGTTTATACAACTTATCATTACTAATATAAAACTTCCATGTATAAATATAATACTTCATTGCCAATATAAAACTTCATTGTAAATATAATACTTCATTGTATTAAAATATAATACACTTGATCGCAAATATAATACTGCTTTGCAATTATAATACTTCGTGTCACATTTATACAACTTATCATTACTAATATAAAACTTCCATGTATAAATATAATACTTCATTGCAAAATTAATATAAAACTTCATTGTAAATATAATACTTCTTTGCAATGATCAACTTCCATGTCACATTTATAACTTGTCATCACTAATATAAACTTCATTATAAATATAAAACTTCATCGCAAACATTGATACGTCACACATTTTGAAACTTTGCAATGTTTGCATGTTGCCAGCACTGTGCCTGCAAATCAGAGCTCAATCTATGGGTTCAAGTTGCCTGTTCGTGGGTGTGCGTATTGCGCTTAGTATTGCGCAATATATTTGGCGGGAAATCACAAATAGCGAATTTCAAAATGGCGGTCAATGTTCGTCTTTAACTTCCAATGACCATTGTTATGTCAGTTTTTTAAGGACATTCGGCAATATGACGGAAGAAATAGACGTGCAACGTCTTCGAGATGATTTCCTCGAGTTTCTTGCGGAACTAATGGAGCAACTTGAGGAGCTGCAATCGCTGCTGTTAACCGACAATCTGGAAATTGCCGATCGCTTGTTGAACACTGCACAAAGATGCTCTTCGGGGATTTTGTTATTTATCAGCGTTTTTGAATCCCGTAATTGGGATGTATGTGTCGATATTCTTGCTTTGCTTCACAGATTGCTGGAAATTTATGACAATTTAGTTATAAGGTACAGCAAGCGTTTGAGGTGGATAGAGGAACGTGAACAAGATAACAGCTTCCACTGCAGACAGGAGCGAACGGGTACGCCAGGTAGACCTCGTTTTGTTGTGTCAAAACCACAGATTGAAGGTTTACAAGAGCTCGGCTTTTCATGGTCTAAAATAGCAGGAATGATTGGAATATCTAGAATCACATTATACAGACGCCGATTAGCATTGGGGATTGGAAATGAAGTAGAGTTTAATCAATTGGAAGATCATGAG